GCAATTACAAGGTTATATTCACAAGTTTTCATTTTTCTTTATGTCTCCTTTTAAATACTTGATAATAAAGTCATTATTTTTAAAGCACCCTGGATATCATGGATTCATTGTTTCTTACATTTTCTTATTCAATTATCTATATCCAATTTTTTTCCCATGAGTTGAGGAGTTTTTTAATGTTACTTTCACTAATTTAAGGAAATCCTACAATTTTTTCAATATCTACAATTAATATTTACAATCCATTTGCATTAAATTGCTGTAATCCAACAATTATCTAGAAAAATATCTACAAAACTTTGATAAGATGGGTGAGGAGAGACTCAAATTCTAAATCAAGAACAGTATTTGAGCATGGATATTGAGTTATTAGCCTTGTAAATGTTCAGTATATTTGTGTATATTTTCCTTTTATATCAATATTTGCTTTTACATACAGATGTGTAAATTTGCAATCTCTTACAATGAGAGCTAATTCACTCTATAGAGCTTATTGACTCCTCATATTACAGATACAAAAGTTTTGAGTGAGTTGATCCAAGGACACAGGAGCAAATGTGAGAGAACCTCTAGGTATCCTTAATTTATATTGTTTTGAAGAAACCATGAGGCCACAAAAGAAGACATAGTTTTAAACATTTTGCCCAAAGTTAATCCTTTCTCCCTTTGCTTAATCCAACAGCTTAAAATATGATATACTTTTTATTATAAATAATAGAAGATCAACTTGGAGTTAGATACATAATATTTTCACAGGTTATTCAATACTAAGGAGTTTACAAAGTAATACTCAGAATATCTCTTTATGCTTTCAAAAATTAGTTATTAATACTTTACCACATTAAGTATCTTACTGTAACATACGAACATATGTAACATAAATGGGAGTTTCTTTCAACATGGCACCTGCTATCCCACATTCCAAAACAGACATGGTAAAATAAGACTGCCAAGATTATTTGGGGTAAGCCAAAGTCTGAACTCTGACTCATTTAACCATAACTTCTGATAAATCATTACATTTTTGTGTCCCAGGTGCATTTGTAAACTAATGATGAAATCAATACGATTTTAAAAGCTCCTTCACTTTCCATGATCATCTAATGCCATCACACAATTCATTTTTCTGAATTAAAAAAAAGAAGCCCAAACAGAAAGGAACCCCTCTCTTATACACATGGAAGGTAAATTGATCAAGCATTTTGTTTTGGATAGTGCAATATCTAAAATGAGCAGACTTTTGAACCAGAAATCCTATCTCAAATATTGTAACCAACCTACTATAATACTCTCATGAGAAAGTCTGTACAAAGATAATCACTTTAGCACTATTTGTAACAATGAAGAACTAGAGGTAACATAAATTTCCATCATTAGGAGAGTAATGTTATATTGTCCATATCCTAAACGACTGTGAGGTAATGTTACATGGAAGTTATCCATGATCAATATGTGTGTGCCACTAAAAAGTAAGTTGAAGAATTATATGCTGTATATTTATTCAATTTTTATTAAAAATAAGGTTTACATTTTAAAGTATATGCACATATATACATTTAAAAAATATATATATATACATTTAAATAAATATGTATATATGTATATAAATGTATATAAACACGCATATATGTGTACTATGTATTTCTACACTCGTATACTTTTTAAAGCTCTTGTAAGAATACATTGCAAAGAATTACTCTTTATTACCTCTGGGTCCTTAGTGTTTAATTTAAATCTGTATTCTACATAGTACACTGGACAAATGCTTACTGGTTTAATAATCACTTCCTACAAATTAAAAATAATTGCCCAACATACAGTATTTTTAAAATTTAATTTTTATGCCTCTTATCCCTGTTAGTATGTTCTTTCAGCAATTTACATGTATGAGATATATGAAATATAATCTTCTATTTATACAGAGCCTTTTGTCCAATTAATGAACTCTTAAGAGATTGATCCATTCTTTTCTAAGTATGCTATGCAAAAATCCTTGAAAAAATAACCACTTTCAGGTGCCTGCCCCAGAGCCCAAACACAAAGCGAAGAGCTGTACAAAATGTCAACAGTAGATGGTGCACAATTACTCTTAAACAAGCCCTGCTGTTTCAAGAAAAATAATAAACCACCAAATAAAAATACAGATTGCTTCAAAACATGAAAGGCATAACAAATAAGAATTCTTACAAATTAACGAAAGAAACCAATAATCCCAACCTAATTTCCTGTAAATTATCCTCTCCTGTCTTGGGCTTCAGCTGTAGAAATGAATAAAAGAAAATGTTGAAGTTTTCAACAATATACTATGAAAACTATAAAAGAATGTTTGTCAGAGGTTCATTAAAGAGGAGCATGTTTGTGGTTCACAGTAAGTGTTAGATGAGTACAAGATTATCACACCTTAGGGGGGAGATCCCAGGAAAGGAACATAGCAAAAATGAGGCCAACATATATTTTTCTGTATTCACCTTTACAAGGAGCATGAATACTGCAAAGCATCTCTGGTTTGTAAATAATGCTTTTTGCTTCATCCCCAAAATTACTTCATCAAGGAAAGAGAAGTGCTACAGAAATGATGTCAAACATAGATACAACCTGAACCACATGGTTGACTTTAATTCTTTTAAAATTATTCTTCTTAGGCTGTATTTCATAATTTCTAAAACAAAATCTCTGAGGGTGGAATCGGATCATCTTGAGTCAGTGGTCCTTTCAATAAATAATATTCATCCACGAATTCATAAATTAAGGGGGCCTCTTTAAAACTTTCCAGTGAATTGGTCCATGCATTTATATCCAACTATCCTTTTGATGTTTGTTAAAATATATTTTAAAATTATGAGTTGTGCCTGGTCTTATGGTACATGCCTATAATCTCAGCTACTAGGGAGGCTGAGGAAGTAAGACCACAAGTCCCAGATCAGCCTGGGCAATTTTGCAAGACTCCATTTCAAATAAAACTTCTAAAAGGGACAGGGATGTAGCTCAAGGGTAGAATGGTTGCCAAGCATAAGTGAAGCCCTAAGTTCAATTCCTAGCAGCAGTAAAGGAAAAGAGGAGAAGAAAAGAGATTATTATGAACTATTTGGCTACATTTACACATTGGATAATGAAATTTTAATGACATTTTAGTCTACTATGTATTATGTATGATGGTTTCATAAGATTATAATAGAAATATAATAATCCCTATCACCTAGTGATGTCAGAGCTGTCATGTCATAGCACAATGAGTTACTTATGTGTTTGTGGTGATGCTGGTATAAACTTGATGTATATTGCCAGTTGTATTAAAGTGTGGTATATACAATTATGCACAATATATAATACTTGATAATAACAACTATGTTATTGGCTTATGGATTTACTGTACTATACTTTTTATTATTATTTTGGAGTGTACTACTAAGAAAAAAGTACAATAAAACAGTATGCTGGGGGGCTGGGGATGTGGCTCAAGCAGTAGCGCACTCGCTTGGCATGCGTAGGGCACTGGGTTCGATCCCCAGCACCACATAAAAATAAAGATGTTGTGTCCACCGAAAACTAAAAAATAAATATTAAAAAAATTCTCTCTCTCTCTCTCTCTCTCTCTCTCTCTCTCTCTCTCTCTCTCTCTCTCTCTTTCTCTCTCTCTCTCTTAAAAAAACCAGTATGCTGTATTACAACAGTGGCAGCCTCATAAATCTGTTTTTTGTGATTCTTGATCATATCATTTTGTGTGTGATTTAATCTAACATTGTTCTGTTCATCATGGCTCTGGGGCAAATAGATTTATTGTAAATAGATAGATAGACAGATAGATAGATAGATAGAAATACAAAGAGAAGTATACTATATGAATATATACCAATAGGCCAGGTATGAATTAGACTATACAATCTTGATTTATTTACACACACTCTGATGTGATGTGTGTGATGTTTGCACAATAATGAAATTGCCTAATGATACACTTCTCAGAAAATGTCTATGTTAAACAACATAACATACTAATAATTATAATAGTTACTCAAAGTCAGAAGAAACAATTAACACTGGATGGATCTTATTTTCACATGAGATTTTAAAAGTGAAACTTTCAATATCCATGCATTATTGTTGCAGGAGTAGTTCAGCAGTAAATATGTGATTAATCCAAATGTAAAAATATGTTGAATTTCAGTACATTTCTGTGAGTTAATAGAATAGAAATACAAGTTCAAAGGGGAAAATTATATAAAAATTTCCAATTGCTAATAAAGAACTTGATTGCATATCACTATAATAAATGAGGTTGTTATCAGGTATTTATTATATTTATATTCTAGTGGATATGTTTAAAGGGATTAATTTAATTGAAAAATATCAATATCTGCATTTTGTTAGAAACTATATTATTTGAAACTATTTAAATTTATAATGCAACTGTTTAAATGTAAGCCTCAAAAGGTGTGAGTTGGCATATAATTTTCAAAATCCTTTCCCTTAATGCTAAGATGCTTGATAGAATTATAGTTTCCAAGAAGAAAAATTAGGCATAGAAATACTTCTAGTTTAGAGTCTTCATATTACTCAGAAAGCTGTTATTTTTAATCATTCACTCTTATTATAAAGTACAAACATTTAATTTTTAAGAGCATTCATTGTGAGATTTATTGGTGAAATTCCCTTGTTAGCCAACATGATTTTTACAAACTTTCCCCATGCTTATCAGATATATGCTGTGGGTATAAACCTTCATTTTAATATGAGTCTACACATATTTAAAAGTATGTAGAAGAGTCTAGTTCAAAAAATTCCTTTATTGACTGTTTCTAAGTCAAAATGTAATTATTTGACATTACTGATATAGTGTTATTCCTGCCTTGCTTCCTCCTCTGATTCTAACAGAGTATTTAAATTGTTATAACTTGTAAACTTATTGCTGAGTCATTTTTAAATACTTCATGTAATGGTTTTGGAATATTTTGATGTAATCACTAGCCACATGTCAAATTTTTTTGAGATATAGCACTTACCCCCTGTTACATTTTGCTATTTCATCAAATATAAGTTTCCACCGAGGACGTCCAATAAAAAGTCTTGAATTCAGTGCTTGATATTTGTCTCCAATTATCTTCTGCCAAAAAAGAAGTACTATATTTTAAATGATCTTCAGATGTGAGTAAATAACTCTGTTTTCTTACATCAGCTCTGCTGGTGCTCTCTATCTTCCTACAAAATTGCTGTGATATGAAGAATATAAGTATCATATGGAAACCTATTAAGCACAATCATTTCATAGTATCATTTCCTTCAAAATCCATTATCTCCATGAATGCCATTTTTACATGTGATTTATTTTCCTAGACTTCAGTTAGTTGCTTCATTTAAAAAAAAAAAAAAACACACACAGATAAAATAAAGAATGCATTTTAATTGCTCACTCACTCTCAAAAAGGCTCAGCATCTATACTTCACTGAATATCTGCACATAAATACACTACTCACATTCGATTCATTATGAGTAAATTACTACCAATTGTCATCATGTATTTGGGGAAATATTCCTAGCCAAAATAGCCTAAGATAGCAGAGCTACAAATCTTGGCTCTATCAACAAATGATAGTAATGGGCTAGTTTCTGTAATTGAAGAAATATTGGATTTGAATAGATAGTGAAGAGTCAGAGTGAAGTGAGAAGCCAGGAGAAAGTGTCTGAGTTCCAGGCAGACAAACTAAGCACAAAGTATAAATTTGCTTTGTATCTTAAATAATTATGCCATGAGGAAAAAAATATGCTGACTTGCTTCATATGTATGATAAAATGAAATACTTTTACATATCAAGTACAGTAGAAATCTAATTAGAATAGTTTTGAGGTAACTGACAAGCCTTCATATGTTTATTCAAAATATTGTAAAAATGTATGATAGAAAATACTGTAATAAAAATCTGGGAAAGCATTTCCAAGACTTATCACCACATGTAGCTGTTCAATGTCATCTCTAAATAATAGTTTCTTTATCTGAAAAACAGGGAAATATCTACTTCTCAAACCTCTTAGGATTACAGAAGATAATATATGGAAAATTCTTAGCATGGTGTCCACATTGTAAATAAGCAATGTATGATAGCTATTTTATTCTATTTTTTAGTTTTTCTTGGAATGAACTATGTCTAATTTGTATGAGCTCATAATAAATCTCCACATACACCTCCCTTCTATGAACACAAAAACAAAAACAAAACCTCAAGCCTATTCATTTTTTGCCCAGTCTCCAGAGATAGTGAATATGAAGCAATTTTAAAGTGGGGAGAGATGGAATCAACAGGTCTGCTCTAGCCTACTGTGAGTAGGGTGAGTGAAAGGCAAAAGGGCTGATTTCAAGGACAGGCCATGAGTTTCCTGGATGTATTTCAAATGAGGCCTTTCTCTAGGAAACTTCTGCTCAAGCCACCTGCAGAAGTTTTCATCCAGCACGGTTCCTATGGTAAATCTTCAACTATCAAGAGGCTTGTTTAATTAACAATAACATCCAACCACATACCTGTATCCCATCTGTTTGACTGAGGTACAGCTGGATGTTGACATAGTCAGGTCTGTTCTCTTGCCAAAACTGAGACATAAAAATGAATAGACTTATTAAACTTCCTCCCATACACCCAGATTTTCTTCTATTATAATATATGTGAGTCTATGACTTAACATATAACTTGGTTATCACTGCAAATATTTATAAGGAAATGATAGGTAGATATGTACATAGAAGGATAGGAGACAGATTCTTACATTCACAAACCCTCCTGCCCTACTGGTAATAATTAGGTTTGATGAAGGTAGTGGAAAAAAAATAATTCTTTAGCTTTTCAGATACAGAAACTACTATGTTAAATATAATATTCATAATCCCCTAAATACTTTTCAATTATTTCTTATTTTATCCATGAATTTACTCCTTAAGAATATAATTTTCATTGAAGAAAAGACAATAGTGATATGGGATATACATGTTAGGAAAAGCAAAACAAAAATTTTTTAAAAGACATTTTTTTCTTCTTCTTATTTTTTTAACTATTTAGCACTGGATTTCCATTTATAAAATATATATGAAGCAAAAAAATATACCTGCAAAAAGAAGTAGTCTGGAAAAAATGAGAACCAGCAATTCCCCATTTCCCTCTTCCCACAGACTCTGGACCACCATTCTACTTTAAGTCACTATGAATTAAACTACTGTATGTACCTCCTTGTAAAAACTGAATTGAAAAATATTTTCCCTTTTGTGTCTGGCTAACTTCACTTAGTCTTCAAGGTCCATCCATTCTGTAGCATTGTGGCAGGGTTTCCTTCCTTTTTAATGTTAAATAATACTCCATTGTATGTATTCCCCATTCTCTTTGTCCATTAATTAGTCAATGGACACTTGGGTTGTTTTCATCTTTCAGCTATTGTGAATAATGTTTTATGAACATTCATGTACAAGTATCAGCTGAATTCCCTGCTTTCTACTCTTCTCAGTATATTTACAGAATCCATCCATATCTATCTCTCTCTTTCTCTCTCTCTCTTTACACAAAGTTCAAAAGCCTCCTATTATCTATCTTTCCCCAGAAAAGCACATACACCATCTTTTCAATCGCCTCTCCTACATTCTTGTTCTTGCTTCATGCACACAGACCTCTTTTCTTCCTCCATCACATCAAGCATGCTATTGCATCAGTGCTCTTACCTATGCAGTTACATTCCTCTGCCTCAAATTTGCTCCTCCTCCTGCTACACAACATACATGACTAGCGTGCTTGTTCCCTCCACTCAGGTCTCTATGCAAGAGCATTTTGTTTTGTTAGGTGGGCATTCTCATTCTTGAACGCACAATATAAATGAAGATGAAAAAACATGCCCTCTAATGATTATATATATATACGTATATATATATATATATATATATATATATATATATATATATATATGTATATATATATATATATATATATATATACACACACACACACATACATACACACTGGTTTAGGGAATAGTTTTTTTAGTTAAGACTATAAACCCCACAATATCAGAAACTTGGTTTTATTTTCTTATCTGACATATCTCCAGCTCCTAAAATAGTTCCTGACTCATGGTAAGTGATTAATAAATATTTTTTGAATGATAGCATGACTGACTAAATGAATGACTACATGCACAGAGGCATGAGCAATAAAGTCCACTGCTATACTCATTATAAAACAGAAGTAAATACACAACATTAGGAAATTGTTAAATAAACGAGATAATTCCACGCCATGAAATTTTCTACTGCAGTAAAAGAATGAGGTGGTTCTGTGTTTTATTAATATTAAAAAAATTCAAGACATACCAAGAACCAATAAAAAATAAAAAAAAACCAATTTGAATAAAAATATAAAGAATATGAGAGAACACTCATAAAATAACTGATTATATACATTGGGTAAGGAAAGTTTAGTGAAAGATTTTACTTTATCTGAATTGCTTGAAATATTTGCAGCAAAGACGCATATGTATATAACTTGTATAATTTGAATAAACATAGAAGAAACAATAGGTAATTAAAAATGTTATAAGTAGAATAGTGAAGAATTCTTACTTTTACCTCTTTTAAAAAGTTAGTATTTGAAATTTTTGAGGTTCTGGATAGCATATCAATAAGTTTTCTAATGGTCTTTGTACTCACGATGAAGATGAGGAATAAAAGCTTTTGGAAACAACAACTGAATATGCAAGAGCATGCAAGAGCCTGCTGATGTTCCTCCCCATCAGTCTCCCCAGTCTCTCTCACCACCCCCAGCCATATGCAAACACATCTGTTAAACATCTTATGTTAATAATGGAAATGAATGTTTCTAAGTTAAAGTATGTCACAGTTACCTACACATACTCACAAACACACATATCTAAAATGAAGTGTACCTAATTGTTAACAGATTTTATCTCTGATTTTGTTTAGGTTTAAGAGAATTTTTGCTTATCCTATAGCAAGTATTTCTTGCTTTTGTAATATGAAACAAAAGAACTATTTTTAATGAAAAATTGAAAAACCAAAAAAAATGCTATTGTTACCTTGTTATACAACATACAGAGTAAATCTGCAAACCAACAGAAGGACTGGATATCCCTGCACACCCAAATAAAATACAGTCTTCTAAGCTTGTATGGTTTCCAGTCATCCCTTTAAAATAATACAACATGGTAGTTATTAGGATTACAAAACAAATTACAGAATCTTTGCATTCTTGAAAATCTGCTTTTCACTATAGCAAGCAACCAATAGAAAAATCAGTCATTTAAATTCCATTATCTGACACATCACCATTACTCTCAAATGAATGCAATTCACAATGTACTGACTCAAAGTCATGGCATATATCATTAATCTGAGTGTTTATGCCATTGAAAATCATATGCATATCACCTGTTTCCATTTGAGGTCATACACTGAACTCTTGGATCAAAATAATATTTTCCCCCAACTCTCAGAAAAACAACTCCTCTATTTTCAGAGAATACTATCACTGAACAGGAGTCCAAAGTTCACTTGGTCTTGCCCTGGATTCCTGGCAAAATGAGCCTAAAGCATTCCAGAAATTTGGTTGTTTATCCCACTCTTAATAATCATTAAAGAAAGAGATTTCACAACCACGTACTATGTAATGTGTTCCAGCAACTCTTTATTCCAAGTCTGGTTTCCTATTTATAACTATGAAGTAGACTGGAGGTTAAGAAAATGTTCTTCCTTTTTCATAACATGAAGTATCCAAATAACTTGCAATGTGTTGTCAGAAACTAATGGTTTCTGGCTTGGAATATGGTTATTTTTGTATGATCCTCCAAAAAAAATACTGAAATTACATCTAGAAATAAAATACCATTCAAACACATCACTCTGGCTTATTATTTTTCATTGCTTCATAAAACATACTTTTAATGCAAATTGTATTTACTTGAAAAGTGAATAGGATAGATTTGAGCGTGACTTCCTGCTGTCACATTGTGTTTTCAGGTTAATTAGTTAACTTTTGCTTATAATCCTAGAAGTAAAATACTGGAAGTTTATTTCCTAGTTAGGCAGTCTCACCTTTGAAATTTCTTTTCTTCAGTCTGTTGTCAATTTGCTAAGTAACAAACCAATGAATGATGTGTTTATGTGTCATCTTCTCATAAAAGTTTTTCCTGACCATAATTCTACACTAAGTTCTGTCCTTCATTTCTATATTCTATTAAACTTTTTTCATAATTCTAACATTTTCTGAAATAGTTCTCTTTATGGTTTTCTCATTGGTTTATTTTTCACTTGTTCAACTTAAATGTAAGCTTTTTAAGTGCAGAGACTCCACTCCCATTCATTGCTGTGTGCCCAGTACCTGGTAAGATCAATTGGGCACATGGGTATTCAAAAATATTTGTTGATTGAATGAATGAGTAGTGCCACTTACCAGTGATGAAGAATGTAGTGAATAACTTTTAAAAGTAAAAGGACAGAGGAATGAATACCTGTGATATTGACTTATTTTTACAAGGAATATGCTGGGGGCTACAGACCACATGTTGAAAACCACTGAATTATCCTTTCCTTAATTAGTAGAATTCCTTTAAATATGAGTGGAAAAAATCTGTATGGAAGTATTTTATACTAAAAAAAGAAAATGTCTAAAATATTGGAAATTCTCTATTTAAATTGATAAAATGGATCAAAATGACATACAGCAAGGTGTTGAGTATTGATGCAAATGGAGTTACTCCAATGCCTCCAGCCACACAGAGGCTAACTTCATAGTTCAGAGATTCCTCAAATGGACTTCCAAATGGACCATCAATGTACAGCCTGTGGAAAAGGCAGACAAAGTTTGGAAAAATGAAAATAATTTTCCACGACATGTATCAAACAAGCATGCTGAGTCCAATATCTAGGCATTTCAATGACTCAGTGTTTATTTCATTATTTCTAATAGATTCTCATAGCCTAAAGGAGTAAAAAAGGTTGTGTATGAGCTGTTGATATTAAAACATATTTGTTTTTAAGCATACTTTTTCTGAGGTAAAATTAGTTTTAAGTGTAAAGAAATGTAAATTTGATCATGCAGCATCAGATAAGTTAAAGTTCTGGTAATATTATATTATTATATTTGACTAAATTAAAATACCAATTTACAATGTCTAAGTTCAATAGTATTTCCATTAATGGAGGCCCACAGGAGACCCTAAAACATTTACTATACAAATAGAAAAATCACATGAGGAAGGTAAAGAATCTAACACTGCTTCTGAACAATCACAAAGGAACTATACTTAGTCTTCTTGTGTTTCTGTATTCAAATGTGTGTATATGTATGTTCATGTGTATGTCTGCAACAGAAAACCTCATCTTGTCTGCAAAAGAAATTGCTAATTATTCATTTAATACTCATATTCCATTTCTTAGTAACAGAACATTAATTTTATTCAGGGAAGTAAAATCCCCAGCCATAACACTACATTTCTCAGATTCCATTCATCTATTTTGGCTGTGTGACTGTGTTTGGGCTAATGTGGTACACAATGGAGGTACATGTGCAACAAATGGGAAATCCTCTTTTAAGAAGCTGTCTTAGCCAGAGCTTTCATCTCTTTATTCCTCCATCTGTCTTCCTCCCTGGTGTCTGGGATGTTGACTTTATCATCTAAATAGTAATCTTTGATGAATGCAGAATCACCATGTTTTCTGTGGACTACCCAGTTCCAGACATCTTCATATAAAATTAAGATAAACACTTATTTGTACAAGACATTGCTATTTTATATCCTTGTTTCCTTTATCAAAACAGCTTTCCAGAAATTAGTAACTTTTCAAAAAAGTAAATTTATATGCATTATGATCCACAGGTCATTTATGATTAGGAGTCACTGCAATAGCAGATCCATTGAGATTATGCATCTTTGGGTTCAACAGTTAAGTGCTTGGAAATATTTATTAAATAAATAAATTGATGGACATTTCTTTGAACTCAGAGCTCTATGACATGTTTCTATCAGTTTTGCTGCTGATTTTCTCTCTTCCACTTAGGAGACAACACTCCCCGGACTTCTGTGGTAAGATTGGGTCGTGTGTCTAGTTCTGATCAGGGTGATTGGAAGCACTACTTGTTATTTCCAGAATGAGGCAGGAAAACATTATTTTCCTTCCATGGGAACTAACAGTAATGAGTTGAACCAGAAGAGAGAAACAGACTGAATCTCTGAGCCATCACTCAAAGGGTGCTATTCTAGAGAGCCACTAGACTGACAGAAGACAGTGCATGAGCCAGAAATAAATCTGTTTAACAGTGTTTCTCCACATTTTCAGGGATACTTCAAGTTTAACTAACTACTGTAGCAGGACTTAGACCATCATGAGTAATGCATGTCTTAAAGGGAAACCTTGAAGAGAACCACTTTAAAACATATATATATATATATATATGTTGTGGTACTGCATACCTGTAATCCCAGAAGCTTGGGAGGTTCAAGCAGGAGGATAGAGGCTCACAAGTTCAAAGCCAGCCTCAGCAACTTAGCAAGGTCCTAAACAACTTAGTTATCCATTCTCAAAAATAAAATAAAATAAAATAAAATAAAAAAGAGTGGGAATATGGCTCAGTGGGTTTAATCCTGGGTACCAAATATTTTATTTATCTCTTTTATCTCAAGAAATAATAATCAAAGTTGATAAACTTAATGTAGTACTCTAAATATAGCAGAACATTAGTAAATGTTGATAGGTCACGTAATTACAATATGTACAGTACTTATTATATCCATTTAACCCACATTTTATAGTTTACCAGTAAACATGTACTTTGTAACCAATTATTTGTATGACACTATTTTTTCCACATTTTGATTGGTGCATTACAGTTGTACATATGATGGGATTTGTTGCTACATATTTGTACACAATATACAATAGAAGGATATAATTTGGCCATTATCACTCCCTAGCACTTCTTCTCTCACTCCCTTTCTCCTACCCCGGCTCCCTTTCTTCTACTGATCTCCCTTTCATATTTTAGGAGAGCCACCTCCACCTTTCTTATCCTTTTTCCTCTCTAGCTTCTTCATATGAGAGAAAATAAATGACCCTTGACCTTCTGAATTTGACTTATTTGGCTAATATGATGGTAACATGAGAACACTATTTTTGATTCAGAAATAAAAATGACATCATATCTGCCCTGCAGAAGTTTTGCATCTTCATCTGAAAACCACATTAAGTAGGATGAAGGACAAAAAAAAAATTGCTTTAATGTGTTGATCTTCTAAGAGATGAAAACTTTCTTTTTTTTCTCTTTACTACCTAACCAACAAAAAATGAGAGGAATCATAAGAAAGGAAGGAAGGAAGGAAGGAAATCTGTATTCTACTTGTCTACTTTCCAACCAAAACACCTTCCCCAGTCCCCACATAGCTATTCTCTGATTCTCTGATATTTTGAAATAACTTTGGACAAGGAGATGAGAACTTGGAGTTCTGTCCATTTAATAGGAGTGGGATCACAAACAAATTACTTGTCCTTGTATAATGATTTCCTTCATCATAAAAGGGTCAAGGAGAAATAATCACACACACACACACACACACACACACAAACAAAAAAACCTGCTAAGAAACACAAGGGTCACACAAATATCAAATGTTTTTCGTTAATGATACTAATGAGTGTCTACTGTATACCATTGAACCATCTGAGAGACCCCATATGAATACAAGAAATAGACTAAGTTCAGAGTGAGACAAGAACTATAGTGTGGAATTTGGTTTCAGTGATCTTAGAGAATCAGCTGTTCTTTATTTCAAATGCTTTTTAAATTCTTTTTAACCAATACCTTAAAACAAAAATTGTTAAGCACTAGTCAGGTACCATGAGATGTTTTGAACATGTATATATTATACAACGTTTAAATCAGGATAAACATATCCATATCCTCAAACACTTATAATTTCTTTATAATGTTTTTACTATAATAACTATAGCCACCCTACAATGATAACTATAGTCACCCTACAATGCAATAGTACATCAAAAGTTCTATCTACCTGTAACTTAGTACTCATTGATCAACATTTCCTCATTCTTTTCTCTTTGTTACCCTCTCCAACCACTGGTAACCACCATTCTACATTTTTGCACAAGGTAAGAACATTTTTATTTTCTTGGAGGAAGGATGAGCATGAAATTACTAGTAGTTGACTACTTGGCAACACCTACTTTTTTAAGGAAGTCAGAAAGAGAAACAAAAATAACTTAAAAACCATTTTTACATATTTATCTTGACTAATATGCAAAGTACATTACTTTTAATTTATGAGCAGTGAATTTATCCTAGTCTTTAAAAGAACTTATTACTATTCTCATGTATGTAACAAGATTATAGAAATTAAAGGCAGCTATTCAGTTTTGCAGCAATATGAGATGAGACCAACTTGAGATTTTAAATTTTTATTTTAAAGCCAATTAAGGAGTACGGTTGTGGCTCAGAAGTAGAGAGCTTGCCTGGCACATGTGAGGCCCTTGGTTTAATCCTCAGAACCACATAAAAATAAATAAATAAAATAAAGGTATTGTGTCCAACTACAACTAAAAATAAATATTAAAGCAAAACCAATTAAAATATTCCTTAAAGGATTATGGGTCTATGAAAATTCTAAGGAGATATTCTCTTCCCAAGTACACCAAAACATAAACATTTTACAATTTTTCATAATGTTTTGTCCTTGAAAGTAGAATTCATTAATATTTTCTAAATTGGTTCAACTGTATCATTGACCAAGACTGAATTGATTGACCATTTATATCAGAACTTCTCTCAAGTCAGAAATTCATCAGCTATGATAAATATAGTTAATTGAACTATATTAAAAAGATAAAAGTCTAATCAATAGTTCTTAAAATCCTGTATTTCAATGCTTGTTACAGACTCCTCCCAAACACCCTAATAACATAATAAATTAAAATAGAATTTATTTAGATATCTGAGGAGTAAGGTAGTCATAATTTTAAGGGAATACCCTTATTTTAAAATTAGATAATAATTATCCCAGTATTTCCCAAAAGGAATTCCAAAGAACAGCAATGCGAGGAAAAGCATGTCATTGTCAAATCAATTTGGAAAATGTGTTAAACAGATATTTTTAAAATTGTTTACTTTAAAACATATGTTATATAAAACTCCCAATTTGGGAGTTTATAGTAATATATCCACTTAAAAAAAAGGCGGGGTGGGGGGGTAGGTGTTTCCTGCCCTTTCTTGCAAATGGTGGTGTCTATGGTTAGATTGGAAAGAAATCTGGGGTCAAGTTTCTGGGAAACTTCTTCAGGGCAAGGCCAACTCTTCTGTGTACCTTTTATGCCACTGTTCCTCCTGCTTCTCCTGCTTGGAAGGAGGACATACTGACAGAAGCTGAAGGAGTTATCTTGCAGTCATTAACTGTAGACACCTCAGATTTAATCTGCTGACACTGTACCAACACCAGCCACCACTTATCTTCATACTTTTTGTTACATGAAAAAAATTAAACCCCAACATTTTCAAGCTATGTTTCTATTTTATGTAAACAAATGCAAATATACCTAATAAGCCTTTACCATGGAGACTAGCTCTATCAAACATTTAAAAATATTAGATACTCTTTCTAATAATAAACTGTTCTAATTTATCTACATCAACTTAACATAAATATATAATTGTTAGGAAAATATTTGCTTCTCTTGTATTTTTTTCTGATAAGCTTTTATTTCAGAGTTCTTTAATTAAAAAAAACTGAGACTTACCTCAGAAACAAAAAATAAGGTATAAACATTACAGATAT